AAGGAAGCTCTTCTTTGAACGGAACGTCTGGAAAATCCATCAGCTCCTTGGGTAGGTTTGTTCTGTGAGGCACAAGTACAAATGTGTAAGTGAGTGATTGTTTATCTTGTTCGTACAGACCATGCGCAGATATAGGATTTTATAATGTGTTTTTGTGAGTGTTTTTGGGGGTAAAGAACTTTTACTACGCTGTAGCTAGCTAACATGGGTGCCATTGACCTCTAGTCCTCAGGTGCTACTTAATTGCTAATTGCATTCTTCTGGTAGCTATTATTGTAATGAAGACGTAGAAATATACCTGCATATACTTTTAAATGCAGACGAACCTAAGGCTGGCGTTCATGCTGCTGTGTATGGGGAGTCCGTATTCATCGCGGTCCGTCCTGTCCGTGTAGACCCACGTGCCGCCGACTTCTCCCGCCTTCTCGAACACGGTGAAAGTGAAGCGATCTGCGTGGTGGCGGAGATAGCGAGCACAGCAGAGCCCCGCGGCACCAGCTCCAATTACAGCAACTCTCAGCATGAGAGCCTCTCTAGCGTTTTGCTGGAACAAAAGTATGAGGTCGACAAGTTTTACTTTGCGCATGCGCGCGCGAAGTATCACGCAAAACTCAGAGGAAACAAGAGAGAGAAATTTTATTGGACGCAGCCGACAAGCTGACCCCAACGAAGACGAACCAGCACACGAAGATCACCACGATAGTGACTCAAACAAAGGTTCCAACTTTCACTTCGAAGAAGACAGAAGCCGACGAAGAGGACATGCCGGACATGCCGGACATGCGCAGTCTGTTCAAATGTCGCACTGATAATCGCGCTCCGACCTCACTGCAGAACGTACTCGAGAAAATGTGGGGGAATTTGTTGCTAGTGTCACTGCTCTCTCTTCTCGCATCCAACGCCGCGTCACCTGGTCTAGTAGATGTGATCTATCCTCCAGTGGAAAACGGACCTGACGCGCGGACACCGCTCTATTTCTCGCTAATCCAGTCGTTTAGCGGCCAGTACGTCAGTGTGTACTCCCTTCCTGGACTACATATGGCCCTGGACTTTATCAACCAAGACAATACTCTACTTCCTGGATATAGTCTCCACTACGTCTTCACGGACGCCGAGGTGAGACTCTCGCGATATTAGATGAATCCATGTTGTTGTCGCCTAGGCCTTTTGCATCTTCATTAGCTAAAATAATGTCTATTGCCATCCGTTTCGTGAAGTAACTAGGCCAGATACACAGCATTTACTACAGTATTATTGCTATATACAATACTACCAACTGTATATGAACTAGAGCTTTGCTGTATACCTTTTGTCGCTAGCTATAATACAAACCATGTCGTCTCTCTTTAGCAATGTGGTTTCTCTCTGCTTGACCAACTGTGTCAATCCAACTGCTAGCTAGTGTATAATGCCCGTGCTCTCTGTCTCTCTCCAACAGTGTGATAGGAAAGAGGCGCTGAATGCATTCCACCATCAGGTTTTCGATAAAGTCATCACTAATAAACTCGGGGTCATTGGCTCGGGATGCTCTGTTTCCACTGAGCCAACTGCTGCCATCTCTCACTACTACAACCTTGTCCAGGTACTTTCATGTCATCATAATATTTGTTTTCCACCACAGCCTATAGTAAACACTCTACAGTGGTAGCTATCCTGATAAGTTCCCCACCCTGGAAGAGCACTAGAATCAAATTTTTGTGTGCATACCGAAACATTTAACACTTTTCAATGTTTACGTCGAATAATTTACGCTTAAGCTTCTGTTATTATTATATTGTGGGGTTTAATTAGTAGTTCTCAGAACTCTTGCGAAAAACATTTTGGCTGTAGGCATTGAGGTGCGGGGTACAAAACACTACATAGTGCGTTATACACAATCCATGTTGGTGTATATATACAGTACATACAGTTGAAGGTGCACATCTGCTCTATACATGCTGGCTACTGCTGGCACGAAACACTATGAGAGATAATTGCCAAAGAGCTAGTACCCGCTGCCTTGATTCCTATAATTATTTCAAAATGGTGCAGCGATGCATGTGAAACATAAAATTGATTGGTTGAGGTGCACTGCATTCACACGTGTGCTGCACAAATTCTTCCACGAGACTCTAACTGAATTGTAAAAACAAACAATTATAAGTACTCTTTGTTTCACATACCGCAGAAGTATCGTTATAATTATTATCATTCTGTGTGCAGGTGTCTTGTATAGCATCGTCTCCGGCATTCAGGAACCGAGTCCTGTTCCCCCGCTACTTCCAGATCCTCCCGACAGACGCCAGCCAGGCCAACGCCTTCTACGCCATGATCAGACACTACAACTGGAGGAGAGTGGCTCTTATTGTCCAGGACGAAAATCTATTCACAGCTGTAGGTTGTGTGACCTGCTGTGCTAAATTATAGCTAAACAACTATGGTGGATGTCTGTGGGCATGAAATTTTCTCAAACGCCTGTATTGATATTTCTCTGCTGTTTAGAACTCGGTAGCATAATCATCCACCAGTAGTGCACTATGGAAACATGCAAACAAGTGTCTTACGAGCCATCCACAGCGGGCGTTACATGAACTATAAACTGCAGTGGTAACTAATAATGTGCAATTATGCATAGAAACTTGTGTCAAAACTTACTGAACCCACAACAGTTTTTTTTACTTTCGTAGTTAAGTACTTCTTACATTGAGATGGCTAGAGGTAATGGATAGCTAGTATAGAGAGAGAGTTTAAGTTTACAACTGGGCTAGAGGGAGTAATAATAGGTAAATAGACACTGAGGGTGTAAGTAGTGAGGTTATATTGCTGCTCCCCCTGCTCAGGCAATAGATGAGTTGAAGGAAGACTTATTCAACGATGGAGTGGAGTTTACCGAGGAAACGCTTGTCATTGTCGAGGATGACATCATTGAAGGTCTCTCTAAAGATACTTTTGTGAGTTGAGCAAAATACAGTTTGTAGAATATTTTTTATTTTTGCATATTTTTTCAGGTTTAATACAAAACATGTTGTTATAACACATTATGTAGGATGATGATTCTCGGATATTTATTGTGGCAGGATACGAACCAGTTGGTAGACAGATTATGTGTGAGGTATGCCATAAATGTTTGCAAACTAGTATCGATTATTGCAAATTAGTATCAACCATGCGAATGTACATAGAACCAAATCTCACAATCAACATGCATTTTGAAAAACATTGTGTAAAGTCCAATAGGCAAAGTGTCACACTACATTGCCTCCAGAATGTGCATGTATATAGCTACTATCGATGTCCTATTTCAGGCGTACAAGAACAGCTTACTCTACCCTCGCTACCTGTTTTTCACCATCTCCTGGTACAATGCGGGATGGTGGAGAGACGGTGTGGAACAGTACGGCTGCACACCGGAGCAGATGGAACAAGTGCTGGAGCACACACTGACCATAGTATTCCTACCCTCTGCACGCTACCTGGACCCCTCTCTCACCACAGACACAAAAGCCAACCTGGTGAAGATTAAAGCCTTCCACATGTGTACATAAACCAACCTGTTACATGCATAAACCAACCTTGTGAGGAGCCTTCCGCATGAGTACATAAACCAACCTGGTCCATTAACCAACCTGTTACATAAACCAACCTGGTGAGGATTAAAGCCTTCCACATGTGTTCTGACAGACTCTACCAACATTCTAACATCCTCTTGTTGGTGGATATGTAGACCAAGCCAGAATGTAACATCAGTTTGAACTTTGAAATGTTATGTCAGGAATGTGCTTTCATGTTAGGCTGCTATATAGTCTCTGTTTACTTTCAAATGCCCTATGAAGTCACTAGTCAGCAGCCCACATAATTATCTTACAAATGAGATTAAGTGTGGAACTTTAATATACGTGGCCATTCGATTACTTTAGTGTAACAATTTACCTCATCCCATTACACTATATATATTTTTTCCTCTGGTGATCTTTACTGTACTGAGTTTAGAATGGGTTTAATGAAGCTTGTTTAATCTACTTTGTAGTTGATCAACTCATGGATGGGCTTGACAGTAATTAATGTGGTGGATTTGGCCAACTATTAATACACACACTGAACAGTGCATTTCGATTGAACAAGTTTGGAATGCAGCAATCTTTATTACACGTCGATAACGGGCTTCGTATTACACTTTGTTCTCTTTCAATATGTGAGAAATGTGCTTTCACATTGCACTTTTAGGTCTACCAATTATAATTGGTGCCATACGTATGTGAAGCCAGTGCATGTAGGCATGTAACAATAGACCATGTGATGCCAACATAGTCAAGCATTGGACTTGTGTTTATTTGGCCATTTTGTGTTTAATCTACTTTTTGTAGTTGATTTATCTATACTCATGGATGGGCTTGAGAGTATAACTCTATAGTAATGCAGTGGACTTGGCCAACTATTAATACATACACTGAACAGTGCATTTCGGTGGGCATGTTTGGAATGCAGCACTCTTTATTACATGTCAATAATGGGCTTCGTATTACACTTTGTTCTCTTTCAATATGTGAGAAATGTGCTTTCACATTGCACTTTTAGGTCTACCAATTATAATTGGTGCATATGTATGTGAAGCCAGTAGTCCATGTACGCACGAACATAGTCAAGAATTGGATTTAGTGTTTATTTGGCCATTTGTGTCCCCTGCATGACACACCAAACAGTGTGTGGATTGTGCACCAAACATGGGTGAAATTGTGAGTATTATACTAGTAATGACCTTCACTGTGAGTATACTAGTAATGATCTTCACTGTGAGTATACTAGTAATGACCTTCACTGTGAGTATACTAGTAATGACCTTCACTGTGAGTATACTAGTAATGATCTTCACTGTGAGTATACTAGTAATGATCTTCACTGTGAGTATACTAGTAATGACCTTCACTGTGAGTATACTAGTAATGACCTTCACTGTGAGTATACTAGTAATGACCTTCCCTGTGAGTATACTAGTAATGATCTTCACTGTGAGTATACTAGTAATGACCTTCACTGTGAGTATACTAGTAATGACCTTCACTGTGCATACACTACGCAATCCCAAGAATCTCAATTTAGTTACTTTACTACATGTGTGCATGTCAAAGTGATGGCAACACATTCCTGATGATAACATCATATATGGTGGAATTAGATTAACACTATCCATAATTGTGGTGTTACTCCTCTAACTCTGTGGAACCCAAGCACACGTGATCTTAGTTAATGTTTAATTGGCCACACGTTTCTTACTAAGTCTAACCCACAGACTCACCTCAGTTTTGAAATTGTGGGATATTATGTATGGGAGTTGTTTACATGACTCGTACCTAAAGTGTACACAACTTTCTTGATAGCATGTTGGTCGCATTTTGTGTGTCATGTTCAAGAAAGTGAGCATTTCAATATGAGCACGTTTTCTTTCACAATGATAAGAAATGAAGCTATAGAATAAAAGTATCTGACAGGTCCTTTTCAGTCCAAAAAATCTGAGTATGAGTAAAATATTACGTGAGGTATGTAGGACAATGTGTGTCTGCAAATATAATACATAGTTATGAAAAATGTTGCCCAGACCACTATAGGTGGTCTCGCTTTGCGTGCCAACAAGGGAGGGAATAATATGCAAGTCAGCATCTCAAAATATCATTTAAAAACCCTTTGGATACCATGGGTATCTTCTTAAATAAGCAGAAAAACTGATGTATAAACTATTAGCGCCTAGTAGTATAACCCCCATATAAATTCTTATCGACTTATTGACTTATGGACACATTTTGTGTGTCCGTGGCTGGTTAAGTGTTAAGTACAGTAACTGTCCATACAATACTATACCCTTCTTCCTCTGCTGCTATTATACTTTTGGTCTGCCACAAAAGAGCTTCCGAAACGCCACCACATTTTTCTTCATCATCTGCAAGAAGTATAAGCTATTTTACGTGGTATTATTTGACCTAGACGATAGGAGAGTATCTGCGACGAGAAAGTGAGGACTATGTCAACAGTGCACCTCTCAACATCTCTAAAGTGGACGAATTCTCTTCAGACTGCTATGACGGCATGTATGCATTTACCTATGCTCTCAACAACACCATCAATGGTATGCGTATCTACAGTTTTCTTGTTTGCTATCTGTGTTTTTAATAGCTATGTTAAAAAACAATATTTAAGTGTGTTGCTTTTGAGCATTTTCATTGTTTTTATAGAGCATTTACATATTGTTATGCGTGTCCACAGATTTCTTGTTTTGATCCCTTATTAAAAGTATGTTCCTTTTGATGGAGCGTTTACATGGTCGTCATATTATGTTGCTGAGTGTAGCAATCATCTAGTGCAGTTGCAGTATGTGACATATTATTTCTCGTGCTGCAAGATGAACATTACATGTGGATTTTTTCTCAAAAAAACATAGATTTGAACGCGAACATGACACTCAACGACATGGCTAACAACTATGTGGATAATGCGACAGGTCCGTTCAGGATCGAGAGCTTTTCCTACTGAGAACAGCGTCGTGATGGAAACCATGTTCAAAAATCTAGAGAGAACCAACTTTCGTGGTGTGTCTGTGAGTAAGCTAGATAATGTTATGCCAATTGCTACCCACACTTACTAGAGGCTATAATATACATCCGTTTAGCTAACTATATAAACTACGACGGAAATTTGGAAAAACAGAAATAGGTATGAGAACAATTTGGGATTTCACACACAAACTTTGCAAACAAACACTTCTTTTCATTTTCAGAAGCTGCTTGTTTTGTCATGTTTTTTACCTAATTTGTTGTACACACTTACATTGTTTATTTTACTCTCTTTTACATCAGTGACAGTTTATTGTGTATTTACGTTGTTTATTTTACTGACAGTGTTTTTGGCTCTTTAGGGTGATGTCCACTTTGACTCCAATGGAATACGTGCTGTTACACAGTTTACAGTCTTGCAGTACAGAAAAAACCAGAGCACAGGTGTGTACAATGAAATTCATTGGTGAACTATTTGTCATACTCATTACATCACGGTTTACCTCACGGAAGCATACACATGTTTTTCGTATTCCATTGTTATTCCACTGACCCCTAGCCCTGCCCCCTTTTATTCCACTGTCTATGAGTTACATGAAGTAAGAACCGAATCATTGATTGGTTCTAATGACAGGAGACCTGGAGAGTGTGGTGGTGGGTCGTATTTCTCCTGACTTGACTTTCACCTTTGAACCGGGAGAGACAGAAGACACTGTGTGGCCAAGTACGTTTTCCATTTTCAAGAAGTTCTCATCCCTTACTATTTCTGTTTTGTAGATTTCGACTTGTACGTAGCTCCTTCGTTTGTTCGCCAAATAGGCATAGTAGAACTTGTGGGTTCTCATTTACCCTTGGTTCACATGCGCAGTGAGGGTTACAGTACTTGGTCCGTGTGTGTGTGTCTGTCCGTTACCACATTTTTGCCATAGTACGCTAAGCAACCAAATACAATTTACCAGCAGGTTGGCAGGACTACACATAACTGGCGATGTTCACGAAACTACTGCGCTTAGAAGGCATGACGAGGATTTGCATAGTGTTGAAAATGAGTTTGGATTTGCCTGTTGACTATATTAACGCTGTAATAACAGGGGGTGTTCCGTATGATGGAGTGGCAGTGAATGAGGAGGTGCTGGCAGTTCACGTGGCTCTGACTGCTGTGCTGACCTTCCTCTCATGTGCCGGGATCATCTTCTCCATTGTCTGCCTCCTCTTCAACTTCTACTTCAGAAACACCAAGTACATGTTGACACAACAAGCATATTTACTCAGTTTGGAGTTGGGCGTCTTTGGTGGTTTAATCTGCTCCTACATACTAAGTGGGAGTAGCCATAGCATAGTGGTTTGAGGTTTGCCTTTGTCATGTTGTATAATTATTGTGTTGAAGATTTGAACCCCTACCAGCTGAGTTGCCCAGCAGAGTGTCATGGGTTCGAATCCCAAGCAGGGCAGCTCTTATTTTTTCCTTGCTGTCCTGGGTGTAGTTGACTTGTTGTTTGTGCCTTTGCCTTTCTACCTCTAGTTGACACATGCACACACTCTGCGTAATGCTACATAGAAAGCTGGCCAAACATGTGACTTGCAGTCCACTTTAGGCATGCATTTGATGCCTGGTTCGAATCCTAGACCAGCACTGAAACTGACAGGTGGTCCAGAGCATTGGCTGGGAACAGCTCTGGTTACTACCACTGACCCACATACATCTCAAAGGGCAGCGTACAGTCCGTCATCGCACTGCGTCCATAGATGTCTGTTTGGAGAGATGGAGGGCTGTTATTTTTTCAACCCCAGAATTTTATTTTTGTCGCCTAAAGCACACAATCCATGGATAAGTTTAAATGGTGCAAGACACTCATAGCATTCGGTGGCTAGTATTGCATATGTAAGAGCCTCTCAACATAACTGTTTTGGATAGCTCATTACCATTTCCCCCCACTTTTCATGAGGATGTCTATTGTCTGGGCAGGTTGATCAGACTGACATCCCCCAACCTGAACTACCTGATAGGCTCAGGAGCCATTCTCCTCTATCTCGCCATCGTCGTCACTGTCTGGCCGGCCACCACGGCCACGGCTGCTGGAGTCCTCTGCAACCTCCAGGTCTGGCTGACTGGCTTCGGGTACTCCCTCTGCTACGGAACCATCCTCGTCAAGATGTGGAGAGTCTACTACATCTTTAACAACCCCAACTCCCAAAGAAGGTACGGCAGAGATTGTGCCGTTTTCCGATGTAAACTATGAGTGTGGCTGATGCCATAGTATACCGGGTCTAGCTATGCAGAGCTCAGAAAAAGAGTGTCAATATTTTTACATGTGTTGTGTTGCTGTACACACCTATATAACACATCTCCATAATGGAACACTTTTCACCGTTCGAGTCCCTACCTTTCTACTGTAATGTATATGATTCCCTGGAGATGTCTCTAGAGGCATGAATAACCAACTGGGACTGGGAGGCAACATAATTACTGTAAACCCAGTAATGTTGGCACCCAAAATAATTAGCGTTTTTGATAGATCTCACATATTAGCGGCTTATAAATTTATCGAAATTTTGATAGGCAGTTATAACACAGGAGCATTTAAAAAAAATTGCCATCCTATTACTTTAGCGTTTAGGATGGGAAACGCAAATTTCGCTAAATTTATGGCGCGCTAAAATGTCTGGGTTTACAGTAGCTCAGACATCCACACTATCTCGAATGGTCACCCTGTAATTCTGACATCACCTGTGTGTGTGTACATAGAAATTGCACGACTGGATGCTGACGCTGATGGTCCTGTGTTTCCTGGTCATTGATCTGGCCATGTTGGTGGTCTACTCGGCCGTGCAGGGCTCACGAGGAGAACTCGGAGCTGAGAGAGTCGATGACGATGAGACCAGCAACATCGAGGAAGGAGTGAGGCCCTTTGAGATGTATTGCGCTGTTTTCTCATATCTTAAACCGGGTCTGGTCATCACATTTTTGTGTGTTGTTTCTAACAACAGAATTGGCCGTAAATTCTGTTCCATTCTTCTTATAGCTTCACAATCAGCTTCTGTGCCCACTTCACTTATAAAAAGACTTGCATCATCCATTTGCTTATTATTTGAGCTGTCTAGACCCCCTTTCTATTTACAGAGGGTTTGACCATTGACACAAACCTTTTTGTGGCATTAAGGTTACTCATGTAAAGTGTCAATAATAAGCTCCTCTATTAATTTGACTGTATTTCCTCTGCTCCAGCACCAAGGTATACCGAGAGAGTTCTATGTGTATGTGTGCAGCTCTCTGGCCAGAGACATCTTTCTTGGCATCTTCTATGGCTACAAGGCTCTCCTCCAAGTAAAAGCTAAAGAGAGTTAAATAGGCAAATTAATGGATAGCTAGAGAAAAGAGAGGCAAATAGGTAGAGGGAGTTAAACTATTATGTAAGCATATGGATAGCTAGAGACAGTTAAAATTCACAAACTATATAGAAAGATGCAGAATAGTATGTATAATAAGCAAATGGATAGCTATAGAGAGAGCTTAAGTTTACAAACTAGGCTAGAGGGAGTACAAATAGGCAAATAGACAATGTTCCTTGCATAGCTAACCTTACTATCCTATTTGTCAGGTGTGTGGTCTGTTCCTGGCGTTTGCCACCAGGAAGGTAAAGGTGAAGGGTCTGGATGACTCCAAGTGGATTGCAGCCACCATATACATCACCAGCATTGTCCTGGCCATCACCATCCTCTCGCTGTACACACTGGGTGGCCTGCAAAACAGATTCTCTGGAGTCTTTACTGTCGGTCTCTTCATTGGGACCACTTTCATCATGGCATTTGTGTTTGTGTCAAAGGTAGGGACACAACACCACCCTCCATTCCAGTACATATTCCTTTCTACATGTGTGTTAGCTAATACCTTATGGCAATTGAAACATGTGAACGAGACTATAGCAGAGTAGATTGTGGTAATTGTCGCTGTTCTCTACTCTGTTAGTATACGAAATTTCCCATTAAAGTTGTGTACAGTGTGTTAGAATAAATTTGTCCTTACAGATGCACACCCTGTGGAGGGATCCAGATGGGAAGACAGTGTTCAGTAAGTCAAGTCCCACTGAAAACCAGCCATCGACTTCTTAGCGGAACAAGGAACAATTTTTTTAAACAGATGACTAGTGTATTATTTTACCCAATGATACTGATGAGTGGCATTTAAATTAGGTTCCTAAAAAGTTTGTGATAAAGGCTTGCAATATCAGTATTATTCCATCCATTCACTGTGCATTAAGAAGTCGCGACATGAGCTCCCGCACATCGACAATAAACACTTGCATTGAGGCAGTTGAGGTTATTGTGCCAACAATTATGGCAGTATAATTATAGAAAACATGCAAATAATGACGTAACAACTATACATTGTGCTCTTCACTTTACTAGACACTGTTAGACATTAGCTACGTATAATATATATGTAATCCGTAATCCACGGAGAGTGGATATTACAGTCATAGTAATGTACACAATAGTACTTTCTTGTGCATGTTTCCTACTTCACATACAACTCTACCAGTTCCACTGCTATGTTGTTATAAGATATGCTTCGACTTAAACACATTCTCAGTTCAAGATCATCGCTAGTTGTCTGGTTGAGGGTTTTTGTGAAGTACGGAGGATCGTGGAAAGAGCAACAGGTACTGGTGGAGTGACAGCTTTCGCCATCCCAGAGGACATCATCGGAGTGGAGCTTAAAGTCTAGAGTGTCATTTCTGTACCCAGGATATACGTACCCAGACTCACAAAAGTAGTCTTCTCCAATAAAACCTGGGATTGTTTTGTATAGAAGGTTATTATCATCACAGGGACAGTGGTTGCTTCCATTCCCAGGATAATTCTCCCATGTCCCAGCTGCAAATGCCCAGATGTGTTGTTCAGGACTGCCATGCACTATTGTCACACCATCAACATCGCTATAATGGAAAGCCAATGCCAGTCCCCACTGGTAGGCTCTGATCCTACCACACACCTGACTGTATGGTCCTCCACTGACAGGGAAGAAGACCGAGTCACAAGTTAACCGTGCTGCACTAACTCTTCCACAAGTCGTCTTGGAGTTTTCTGTGAATAGTTGCCAGCCAGAGGGACAGCTGGTGTTGGGGTGTGTCATATCCAGGTAGACTGCATGTCTCCAACCTCCTGTACCTCCACATGTGTAAACAGGAAGTTTTTTGATCTTGTCACATATCATGTTTGCTGTGCTATTGAGACCACTTAACCCTCTCTCAATCCCACTGAAATCATCTCTCATTGATTCATTCAGAGAACTCAGTCTAGTGTCAACTTGAGCTACTGCAGATGTAGTCTGCTGACTGTGTGTCTGCAGGTGTCCACCTAGATCACTGATGATTCCGTTGACCCGACTTAATTCATTCCTTGACTCGTTTATCGAAGACTCGAGAGCTGTTTGAAAGCTCTGGACACGAGCTAACTGAGGGACTACTTGCTGCTGGACTTCCTCGGTGAGATTATCAACCCTGTGACTAAGACTGGCTATGTCGTTCTTCACAATCACTATGTCGTTCTTGATAGTCTTGATGTCTTTCTGCATCGCTTCCAAAGATGGTCCAAGAGCTTCATACACAGCTGAAGTGAGCCTCAAAACTGTAGCCAGTATAATAGTAACTAGGAATGCGCACGCGCATATCTTGCCTCGCGCGCCAGTGCGTGCGTAAACAGTCCACTCGTTCGCGCGCTCTCTAGTTGCTGCGCTGACTTCCTATGAATCTGCGCGCGCGCACGGCGCGGAAGCTAGACTTGTACGAATGACGGAAGTTTGATTCCTAAGCGTGACTAATTGACATTCTTAAGCGTGACCGACACGTACGTACGTATTATACGCATATCACGAGAATACAACCCGGAGTAGTTGCGCCTCACGCTAATGCGCTCGGCAATCATTACTGAGCTATCTAGCTCTTCCCTTACCATCAATTTGAGACTGTCCAAGTTGTGCCTTAGATACTAGCCATAAGACCAGCAGAAAAATAGACCTGTCCATCACAAAAATTTTCTCTGTTATGCACTGCCTACAGCCAAGCAAACCACCAGTATACAGTGTATAGCTGAAGAGCTACAATAACAGAGAGGTTTAAGGTCCACATTCTACAATCTTCCCACATTGATAAGACTGTCTTCCCTACCACCCTGTTTACCTAGGAGGATTACAAGATATGACTGAAACAACTATAGATCCGCCTAAACGGATGCAGGGCATTCTACTGACACCTGCAGCTACCTCACACTTCGCTCTAATGACCCTATCTGAGAGTACATACTCTCTTCACAACCCCCTATATTTCACCATAACCTTCAGTCCGGGCAACCAAGCACTGTGATGATCTGGAACTGACAATGTGCCAGTGTCTATTAAAAACATGCTGGCTGATTTATTTTTGAGACAACTTTAGGACTTTGAGAGAACTAACATGTAGTTCCACCTTTGTTGGTAATAATATGAGGATTCCTTTGCTCTGAAGACTAGTGATTATATACCCCACCGCAGGGAAGAGTAACGAAGAGTACGAGTGCGCATGCTCGCTCCACTGGGTCAAAGTACAATGTGTAATACTGGGAAGTTGAGTTTTCACCTTGGATCGAGGTATATACGATCGAGGTACGAACTATCTCTGAAGGCAACTGAGGTCCTCGACGCACAGGATCTCTACATTCATTCGGAAGAGAGTTTTGTACCAGTAAGCTATAGCGTACGTCTACGTAGGTTCGGTTTCGCCGTTATCTCCTTGATTTACATCATACAGTTCGTGTGGGTGTTAGCTGGAGTGTGGATATGAGCGTGTGGGACACGTTCTCTGCCAGTTTCCATCTAGTCCAGGAGAAACTGGAGCAAGTTCTCGATGACTCTTCAGCCACTGCTCAAGAGGAGGAACAGGTCCAATGAGTGTGTATTGTAGCCATACAATAAAGTCCGTTTAGAGTAGTAAGGATGAAGGAATGCCTTAATAACTAACTGATGCCCCTTCCCCTTGTTGGTTGTGTGTTGTGTGGCTGCCCATGGCAGCTATATATATGTATACGTTTGTATGTTTTACACACTTAATACACCTATAAAAAACCCTCTGTGGCTGGGTAAGATGCCTGTGGCAGCTATATACATGTTTATATACATGTTTATATGTTTTACATACACCTATATATAAAACACTGTTCCCACTCTACGTACACCCTCGAGGTTTGATATCTCAACATGTGCATGTTTACGTCCCCTCCTCAGCAGGAGCAGTCAGTGGAGAGTGTGGACTGGTGTGACAAGCCAACAGCCTCGCTCCCCCTCCCCACCCCCCGGCCACGGTGGCGAGGAGAAGAGGAGGGAGGAGGAGGAGGGTGGGGGAGGGAGAGGGGAGAGTTTGGAACAGGCAGCGGCTCTTGAGGCAGCCGAGCAGCAGATGATCCTCATCCATGATGAGTACAAGAAGTTGCTGAGGGAGAAAGAGGTGAAACGATACATTTCCTCTGTGCTACATGTGTATGTATATAGTTATAAGTGGAATGTGCATTTGGCTTCAGTGTTTAGATGATGAAATTCCATGTTGATACACATTACATCATTACATTACATTCATTCTGTGTGGGCATGCTTGGAATACCTCACAGTCTCTGTGACGAGTTTTTGATTGCCTTAACCTCCATACTATACAATGTGTTACAGGATGAGATAGTTCAACTGAAGTCAGTGATACATCAGGAACACGGCACTGCTCAGCCAGGTGTGTCCTATATACAGTATGTGTATAATACACCGTGGCTGCATGCTCATCATGCCGATGTTAGGAACATTCTTAGTTTTCCTTGTACATACGTTCGCACTTGTTCGTCTTTCAATCCGAGAATTTCACCTCTGACAATTAAATGCGAATGCCCCCAACTGTCTAGATGTATAATATAGTGTCATTAAACAAGTGAGGTATGTACTAGCAAGGTAAAGGCAAACAAATCAACTACACCCAGGACAACTCTTCTTTTAGGTAGGATTCGAACCCACGACACTCTGCAGTCTAGGCGAGCGCTCTACCAACTGAGCTACCAGGGCAACTCAGCTGGTAGGGGTTCAAATCAACACAACACAAGACAGACCTCAAACCACTGTGCTACACTCTAACTCAGCATGCATGCCAATGTGTGCATACACATGTGAAAACTCCTATTTGCCCATCACATGTACATATAACATACGGTGGATTCTGTTACGACAGATGTGGATGGACAGATGACGCGTAAAGATCTGGCAGTCCACAAGGAGATGGTGGCCGAGCTACGACAGCAGTTGTCTGGGCTGCGGGAGCAGTTGACCGACAAAGAGAAGGAACTTAAGGTATCACTCTACCTACACTAGCCACACAATGTGTTCTACATTCACTCCATCAGCTGTATTGAAATGACGAAGCATTTTATTATGTGTATAATATATATGATTGTGACGAATATTATGTAGTGCATCGTACAAAATTCCTAGACTCTCACATTACGATGTTGAGGGCCTGAAATGAAGAATACGTACAGCTACGTAATACAGCACGCCATACAATACATTGTTCCTGTATATACACACCCATACAATTCACAAAGAGCATGTATATATATAATTATTAAGTGATGCTAGATGTTCTGAGGGTTATTGACGTGAAATTAGAAAGTTAAAATTGTCTTCTTACGTTTGCCTCGTGAAGTCTGACCAATTCCGCCCGTGAGAGCCACCAACTGTCTGTGTGTGTGTACACTCCACAGGAGCTCAACGGCAGGGCAGAGGGGAAGTTCAGCCGCCTCAAGACCCAGGCCAAGACCAAGATAAGGGAGCTGACTGCTCAGCTAGAGAGAATGAGGGAAGAGCAGGGAGCCAGTCCACAACTGAACCTCTCTGCTACTCAGGTTGGGTCTAGCTTCATTTCCAGCCCCTCTTCTCTCTGTGTGAATGTTTGCTTTGCTTATTGTGTACATGTGCTGAAATTGTCGAGGGCCTGGGAACAGTTTCTGAGTATTTCAAGGTTTATTAATAATTACACAGAGAAGTGTGGGACTGAAGGGGCTACCTTATTCCACCCTGCTTCCCCTCTCCTTAATGAAACTGTACTGTATGTTTAAAATAACTATAGTAGGCAAATGCATGGCATTTTTGGTGAGCGGGAGCGACCAAACAATGACTGTATCTGCACAGCCATCCTAGCCTATTTACAACTTGCACAGTTGAACCACGAACACAATGATTGCCTCCTGTCAGGCATCGAAGAGCGTGGCGAATGGCGCATAATGGACGATAGTTCTCTCGCTAACATGTATATACATACATACTACATACATACATAGGTATTGGACAGCTCATTGCTTTCTACTGGAGGAGAGGAGGACAGTGGTGCCTCAGAACAGCTGCAGGCACTACAGACACAACTGACACATACACAGAGGGAGTTGGAGGAGAGAAAGAGGGAGGAGGAAGAGAGAAAGAGGGAGCTGGAGGAGAGAAAGAAGGAGTTGGAGGAGAGAAAGGAGGAGGAGGAGGAGAGAAAGAAGGAGGAGGAGGAGAGAAAGGAGGAGCTGGAGGAGAGAAAGGAGGATGAGGAGGAGAGAAGAAAGGAGCTGGAGCGAGTGAGAGAGGAGAAGAAATCGCTGCAGCAACAAGTGGACTCTCTCCGAGATAAACTCAATGTGTCTGAGGTATGTTTCCAAACCATATATACTCATGTGTACATTGTAGCTGCAAGAGAGAACGTCTAGATAACAGTTACATAACTTAACATCTAGTTATCCAATATGTGTACTTTGATTTTGTTTTTAGCCAACCCCCCCAGTACTCGCCAGTAGCGCTTGCGCCACCCCTGCCTTCTACCAGCTAGGGTCTTGTGTTCTCTTTCTTACGAGTCTTAGTGCATTCAATAGACTTGGCTAGTGATAGACTGGCCTCACGTGGGCTCACTATGCTACTTACACAGAGTACTCATGCATATACGTATTGTGTCTCGGTCTATATGTATGTAGTATAGTCTCCCTCCACTTTTTCATGGCTGGTGTGAGTGACAGAGAGGAGAGAGTGAGACTGTCATTGTGTATACGTACATGGTGTGTGTTTTGGCTTGTAGATTTAGTGACATGGTGTGTGTGTGCAGGTGTGTGTGGGCAAGGAGAGAGAGGAGAGAGTGAGGCTGGAGCTGAAGGCGACTGAACTGGAGGAAGAGTTGGAGACCCAGGCCAGTCACATCTCCTCCGTCAAGTGGGTGGAGCTACACACGCACATAGTTACAACACACACTGTATATATGTACCTATATATACATACAACCTTTTAGTATGGCATACCTGTGTTTGCCACCTAATCCTAGCCTCTTTGATCTAAAGAGAGTACATGCATATATATATAGTCATCTAGTAACTCCTTGGTATGATTCTAAGAAGGCCCTTATATATGTAAGCCCTCCTTTATCTTTTCTGTTTTACTCATCTTTCTTACGTACATAAGGATGTGCTGTTACATTCTCTATATCACTGGTGTGTGCATGCCCATGTAGGCAGGCGGCCACTCAGTTGCAGAAGAGTCTAACAGAGGAGCAGGAGCACAGCCACAGTCTACAGCTCCAGTTGGACCAGATCCAGTCGTCAACAACATCACCTCCATCTGCTACCAATGTCACTCCTGGATCACAGGTTTGTTAGGAACGAGGTTTCAACTAACTGTTGGCGGTCCGTTTTCATACCAGTGTGTGTAGGTTGCAGTTCACTGCGAAAATATTGCTTCGTGTTTGTTTTGAGAAAAAGCTTCATTCACCCCATCCAGCTCGAATAGTACTTTCTCTAAAACTGTCTTTTCCCTCCTGTGCACGCTAAAAGTACAAACAATTAGGTCACCCCTACTTTTCTATATAATTATACAGTTACCTAACCTTTTAGGAGTGATTTCACTGATTGCTTCGGCTGTATCAATCAAGGTTGATTGGCATGTCTTTTCCCTTCTGTAGAAATGTCACCCATATTTTCCCACTGTCGCATACTATATACATGCATTTTTAACTGCATGCTTTGTCTGTAGTCATTATTGTATATGGTGATTGATGTTTTGTCTGTGGTGCAGGATGATATGGTGGGTAGTGATGGAGTACCGTCCAAGCCACCAGTCTCACCAGGTCCTCCCGATAAAGATGATGACCATCCCTCAACTTTCACTCCTGTCATGGCTTCAGGAGACAGGGTCTGTTTAAAATAGTTTTCACTGCATGCTACGTCTATAGTCAGGGTCTTCAAGATGGTTTACTGGCCTCAATTTTCCCTCGTGTGATTGCTAAAAGTACGAGAAATTTCCCTCACCCCAACTTTTTTCACTGCATTCTTCGACTGTAGAAGGTTATTCATGATGGTTGGTTGGTTGGCCTGACTTTTCCCTCATGCAGTTGCTAAAAGTATGAGAAATTTCTGTCACCCATACTTTCTACTGTCACGTAAATTTTGAGAGATATTTTACTGCACTCCTCGACTATAGTCAGGTTCTTCAGGATAGTTTGTTGTCGTTAACTTTCCTTCGTGATGACGCTAAAAGTACGAGAAATTTTGGTGACCCACAATTTTTAGAGTGATTTCACTGCATGCTTCGACTATAGTCATTGTAATCAGGATGGTTTGTTGGCCTGTTTTTTACCCTCCTGCGCATGCTAAAAGTACGAGAACTTTCGGTCACCCATACTTTTCCTCAATTTTCCATGTGTCTTCACTGCATGCTTCTTTCCATAGTCAGGGTTATTCGGGATGGTTGGTTGGCCTGTCTTTTCCCTCCTGTGCACGCTAAAAGTACGAGAATATGGGTACCATTCCACAATGACTATATTTTATATAATATAATCCTGCAGGGTTCCCTGGTGGACATGGAGCAGGAGATATCTCGACTGGAGACTGCTCTAAAACAAAAGGACGAGCAGCTGTCTAGTTTCAAGACCATCCTGGAGCAAACCCAGGCAGCCCTAGACGATGCCAGGGAACGCGGCCGCAATCTCGCTGGTAATCTCGAGAATCTCTCCTCAGAGCAATCATTGCTGACTCAGCGAGTCGAGGCTCTTTCCCTTGAGCTGACCGAGTCAGCAGGCTGCGCTGGAGACGAGCAGAGAGAGTGAGCACCGGCTGGAGGGTTGAGGTGGAGAGATTGGTGAGGGAGGGGGAGGAGAGGGAGGAGAGAGAGGAGAGGGAGAGAGGCCAGAGAGGAGGAGCTCCGTGCTACGAGAAAGTCGCTGGAGGAAGAGAAACAAGCTCTGCGTGAAGCCGAGGAGAGACTATCAGAGAGAGATTCAGAAGTGGAGAGAGTCAGGGCTGAATTGCAGGTTGGCTTCTTGTACAGTACCGAAACTTTAATGTCTGGGTGCGTTTGGATGCTGCTAAAAAGCTGACAGTAGCATTGCGCTGTTCTTTGAGTTGCGTATGTTAGCCTTAGGTTTAGATTATGCACGCACAATTCTACATTCATGTGTGCATACAATATGCATGCAATTGCACGAGCATGTGATTGTGTGTCCCATGTGTACATTGTGGTGCATGCTTTACTCGCTATAGGAAGAGTAAGGCTGGTTTACAATGCGTTTGTATTGCACCCGTCGTGCCTTGCCGCTTTGCCGCATCGTGAGGATGGAACCGTATGCGGCACCACTCGATGCGGTGCGGCGCAACGTGGCATTATTGTGAACCTAGCCTAAGGAAGGCAGATATACATGTGAGTGTCCATCATCCTCTGGTGTATACAGGAGATGGTGTCGGCCAACTCAGCTCTGCGAGGCAGTCTAGACGGAGACCGGCAGAGCTCTGCCGAGCAGCTCGCCAGCTGTCACCGGAAGATATCAGAGTTGGATCAGACAATCTCCCAGCTTCAGTCGACCCTCGAGGAGAGGGAGAGAGAGGCGAACGAACTGAGTCTATCTCGCCGCCAACTCGAGGAAAGCCTCGGACAGGTGAGGGAGAATTTGCAGCAATCGGAGGCTACGGGACTCAACGAGGCAGAGAGACTTGCTAGCCAACTCACCAGCCTCAAGGAAGAGACTCGAGAAAAGGTCCGTGTACTGGAGGAGAGACTGCAAGTGACCGTATCGGAGAGAGACGCCGAGAAATTGAGGGCAGCAGAAACGAGAAAGGAACTCGATGCTCTCGCGAACGTGTTGGCGGAGGTGAAGAGCGAGAGGGGGAAGCTGGCCGACGAGTTTGAGAAGGTCCAGTCGCAGTTAAACAAGAGAAACGGTGCCCTTGAGTTTGCCGAAAACGAGATGAAGAGCAAGACTAATGTCATTCAGAACCTTTCACAGCTTATCGAGGATAAGAAGTCCGCCATTGCCGAACTCAACGCAGAGGTGTCACGAGCCAAGAGCGACCGAGCGGCGAGACTGACAGACTTGCTCCAGAAGAACGAACAAGTCCTGAAACGTAACTCTGAACTCGAGGGCGATCTTTGCAAGAAGGGTGCCGCACTGCAGGGACAGGAAGCTGCTGTGAAAGAGTTAATGGAGAGATGGAAAAACTGCAAAGAGCTTCTCGGTGGCCGAGGAACGCGCACAGTCGGCTCGCAGCGAGTTTGAAGTCGTGATTCGGGAGCGACAGAGCTCGCTAACCGAGAGGGAAAAGCTGTGTGGGGAGGTCGACACGCTGTCTCAATCCCGGAGAAATTTGGAGCAAAAATGCGCGGAGGACGAAGAGAAGAAGGCTCAACTTGAGAGTCGGGTTGCGGAGCTGTCCTCCCGGGTGGGGGACCTGCAGAAGAAACTCCAGGTGGCCCGGCAGCAGGCAAACAAGTCAGCGACGGAACTTGAGGAGCGCGAGACCCGAGAAGAGGCCCTGCGTGGCGAGTTGGGCAGGGCAGAGAGAGAGAATTCCCAGATGAAGCAGCAGTTTGATTCGGCCGTGTCGCTTATGGAATCCAAGGCAGCAGAACAATCACAGCTCCTGCGACGATCAAAGGAAGAGGCAGAGTCGAAAGACGCCGAGAATTCACGGCTGAAGCAACAGGCGGCGTCAAACGCCAAGACTATCGGCGATCTGAGAGAGCGGGCGACGAAATCCGAGGCAGACTGCAAGATTTCGAGCGAGCGGTGCCGGCTGTTGGAGCGAGACGGGGGACAGCTGAGGGGGAGGGTTGGTGAGCTGGAGATGGCTCTGAACCAGTGGGAGGCTGAGGTCGGTGACGCGAGGGCAGAGAAGGAGACTCTGATCTGTGAACACCGGGCGCTGTTGAGCGGGATTCAGGAGCACGAGACGCGAGTCTTGCAACTGACCAACCAGGTGGCCGAACTGGCCCGGGAAAAACAGGGTGAGTGTATCTGTGGGGGGGTGAAATGGAGGTAAGATAGGGAAGTATAAAGAGAGATAAAGAAATACGCTACGAGATAGAGTACATTACTATTCCATACTCCACTTATAGTGCAAGTATTAAGGATAGTTGGGTTGTCTCTTTTTCAACTCATGTTCCTACAACAAATGCAAAATTGTTGACACCCTTATTTGGGGAGTAAGGAGAGTGGAAGGGCAACAAAATAGAGGCGTGACAGAGGCTGGTAAAGCAATATGTATGTACACTATTAATTTTTGTATGTGCATTGTACGCACGCACAGCATAGAGTTTGTTGTGGAGTGTATGTAGTATTATAATTGCTGTCCAGGGCTGGAGTCAAGGATGAAGGAGTCTAGCAGAGAGTTGGTGGCCAGTGAGGTGGCCAGAGAACAGCTGAGCTCCGAACTGGAGAGCCTCAGGCTCCAGCTACGGGAAGGGGGGCAGTGGCAGACCGATAGACAGGTCTTGTCTCTTTCTCTTCCTCCTTTTCTATCTCAATTTCTCATTTCTCTTCCTCCCCCCTCCCTTTTTTTTCTCAATTTCTCATTTCTCTTCCTCCCCCTCCCTTTTCTTTCTCAATTTCTCATTTCTCTTCCCCCTCCCTTTTCTTTCTCAATTTCTCATTTCTCTTCCTCCCCCCTCCCTTTTCTTTCTCAATTTCTCATTTCTCTTCCTCCCCCCTCCCCTCCCTCTCTACGTATTGTCTCCTCTCTAGCTTTAGAAACTGCACAATGCATACACATACACGGTATAATGCTTATGTTTATGTAGCAGCCCTACATATGGGAGGTGTTAGTTGAGCTTCTACAATGCACACACATACACTTTGTGTAATGTTGGTGTTTATGTAGCAGCCCTATATAGTAGTACAAGGAGTGCATGGGAGGGGTTAGTTGAGCTTCTACAATGCACACACATACAGGTGTAATGTTGGTGTTTATGTAGCAGCCCTATATAGTAGTACAAGGAGTGCATGGGAGGGGTTAGTTGAGCTTCTACAATGCACACACATACAGGTGTAATGTTGGTGTTTATGTAGCAGCCCTATATAGTAGTACAGGGAGTGTATGGGAGGGGTTAGTTGAGCTTCTACACTTATGTTTCAGTTTCAAGTATTTTGCACAAAAGGTTTTTGGTACGAAAAACACTTAAATTAACCAAAACACTATCCTTTTTTAGAAGTACAAGTAATCTCAGTATATCTTCTCCACCTGACACTGCAGGCACTGATGGAGGTCCAGAGTCGTGTGGAGCAGGAGAAGGCGGAGGTGGAGGCTGGCTACACTCAGGCTCAGTCCACCATCCAGCAGCTGCAGACAGACGTGACGGAGCTCCAGGGACAGTTGCAGAACACACAGCTGGAGTTGCAGCAGTGGCAGACAGGCACGTCCTAATGTAATGTATATCTTATGTATACATGTTCCACTTTTGCCTGTGCATGTGTATTATACATTTGTGTCAGCAAAAAGGTGGCAAGGCAAAGCTATAACACAACCACACCCACCAGAGCGGCCCTGCAAACCTGTGACACTTAATGCAATATACTCTGTCTGTTCCTATCATTCTAGCCTGTATGTATATATGTACAGTACCGCTCAAAAAGGTTTAGAGTGCGCTCTTGGTTCGCTCAGGGTACGGTACCGTTACGGTGCGGTACTTAACTTTTTTGAGCGGTACTGTACATACATTTCAGAAACATGTACATGTATATTGTACAGTCACGCTTGATCTATAGTGCTAATGTTTTGGGAGGTGGGAGGTGGGAGGTGGGAGGTGGGAGGTGGGAGGTGCCACACAATTTGAGCTGCTCTAGCATAAGGGTAACACTGACTCATAAATGACATATACATACGTATCATAATACAAATAACAACAGAGAGTTCAGTTGTTTTTCATTTGGGGTTAAACGTACATAACCCCGGATGCTCTTCCTCTCCATAAGAGGAGAGTGGGTATTAATATTACTACATGTCAGGTGTCAGATATTAATATGAATGTGTGCAGAGAGCAGCCAGTCGGGGGAGGTGGAGAGGAGGCTGGCAGAGAGCGAGAGAATCCACACCTCTCAACTCTCTCTTCTTCAGCAGCAACTCCAGCTGGAGACCGAAAAGAGGTTTGTTTGCCACACATGAACCAGCTGGGGGACGGACGGCACTAGACAAGTACATATCAAGCAATTACTACACCTGTGACTTATAATTATGGATGATGGAACCTTTTCAAAGTATTAAAAGCTGCTCTGTGGGACTCGGACCCACAACTCAACGAGTTATCTGTACCACTCAGCTCTTGGCAGGCTGGGCGCAGAGTCTGCAATACAGTAGACGACAACACAAATGCAAACATGGCTCAGAAACCCGTCACTACGTGTACATATGTAGACACACACATATGTACAGTATGAGGTAGTCACATATACGTAGCAAGCCCAGGGCTCTTGAGTATCTAAATTGCATAGTTGCACCTACGTATAATTATACATAAATATACAACATTCATAGTGATTGGTACGTGTGTGATTGATACGTACAGAGAGATGGCAGAGAGGTTGGTGAAAGAGGTGAGGTCAGAGGTGGCCATTGGAATGGAGGATGTCACTCCATCTCTACCCTCCTCTCTTCCTGGAGAGGAGAAGACTCTGGGTATGGTGCACTCTCTCTCTCTTACTCTCCCTCCTTCCTCTCTCTCTCTCTCTCTTCTTTCCGTGTCTGAGCTGCATACATATATACTAAGGCTGGGTTAAAGATGAATGTGACATTCCCCAGTCGCACCATGCAGCATCGCCGCATTACTTTTCCTTTCCTGTTTGCAGTGGTTCCATGCTCACCTCATGGCACCTATAAAGCCACACCTACTAAATAGTACAGTATACCAGTCATTTCTTGTAGTTTTGCCTGGTGGAGGCTGCGCATTGACTGAGCTAGGGGTTAGAGAATGAGGCTACAATATACTCATATACTCTGAGATGATGATTTGTTCTGGCTTACGATGGTGTACTCTCTTGGTTGAATGTTGCCATAACCCTTCAGATTTCCTGTTGTCACCTACATATCTAGTTGACGGATCATCACATGCCTGTTTGTAGGGTCTATTGCCTCCATGTGTGCGCTTCACACTTAGACCCTCTTCACTACGATATACCATAGCCTCTGTGCGGACACACTGTGTGTATCGCTCTCCAGCATACATTGATCCTTTGTACTGTCTCTCTAATGCTGAACTAACGTGCTAACATGGCTGTTACCTTTGCGGGCCAGCGACTGCTGTTCGCAATCCAAGTGAAGTCACGTCGCAAATGTCTGCTTGACTATATTTCTCACTAGCACATCGCACATAGATTAGTTTGTAGTGTATGTCTGTCTGTCCGTCAGCGATCTGCACGAAATCGCAGATATTACGTGCCGAATCTCATACCTACAACCTCCAGCTTTTGGCTTGATAATCAAGACCCCAATTGACACATTCTCAGCAAAGTATTTTCTCTGCAGGTTGGGTTAGGTATGGGGATTCTTTTCATTTCAGGCTTGTTTGAGTTGTGGTCTGGTGTTGTGGGTGTGAGTGGGTTGGTTTTTTGGTAGTGGGTTACAATGGTTTTGTGTGTGTATGATTCAGAACTTTGGAGTTTAATCAGCAAGTCCCGTTATATTTTTTCCCCATCTTTCCCTCTCATCCGTCCGCGCTATCTATAATGCCTTTCTCACCTCTATGCTTTTCTCTCACTCCTTACCCCTTCTGTTTGATTCCTCTCTTCTCTCTGCCCTGTGCTCTCTTTCTCCTCTCTTTTCCTCTAATAGTATTGTGCTGACCAGACTGCGAACTGCGAACTACCCACAGACAAAAACTATTTTTCTGGCCATACTTCATCCCCTACCCACATCATCCTCCTTTCATCCTCATCCTAATAAAACGCAAAGTTCCGGACTCTTTTGTGTATTTCCGTAATTTTCTGGGCGTGGTCCCAAAATGTTTCGTAGTCTTCGTAGTCGCTCGCTTATTCCCGACACATTGGGCGTGGTACATTTCGGCTCAATTAGCATGTTTTACGCTCACGTGCGTCGTAGCCAAGCAGCAAGAAGAGTCTATATAGCTATGCTGGATAGCTATATGCAAGGTGTGTGAGTCTGTTTGAGCGAGTAAGGAAAGCATGGCGCACGCCGCATATCCATTCTCTGGAGCCAGGAGGGCGGGAAGATCGGGTCTCGAGGGGACTCGCACTGACGGGCGATCAGCGAACAGCTGAGGTCTTCATGGTTTATCGGATTGCAGTTTGCAGATGCAACCCCGAGCGCCGACCAGAGACAAGCCAGCCACGTGAACGACGAGACAGCAACCTTCGTACAAGACTTTCGAGGACAGGGGCGAGCCGCCGCACAGGCAGCCAGCGAGAGATCAATCTATGGAGAAAGGAACGACCCAAGTACGAGGCTCTTTAGATGGATCGCCCACCCATCGACAAGGGCCTTGTGCCCCCCCACTACCCAGAACGACGAATTGAGTCAATAAGGGAACGAAGAAAAGGAAAGAGAGAGAGAGAGGAGTCGGAGATGAGGGAGATGAGCGAAGTAGAAGAGAGAGCCGTCCAGACGTCGCGTGCATGATGAGACGCTGCTCTAGACTGGCAACATAATAATGAAGGGTAGCCATGTCGTGCGTGCATGCATCCTGTAGGCATGAAGCGCACCTATCATTGCCAAGCTGCGGCGCCACAGTGTAGCTACTCCAAGCTATCGTTCCTCGTGTATAGAATTGTACCACAACTCAATAGTGTTCTAATGAGACCTTTGCTGGATAGGGTCTGGCCTTCTTCCTCTGATAAATCAGGTGTTTACTAAACGAAGGTCACAAAAGAGCCAGAAGGCAACAAATGCTATTTCAATACACAGTTACACCATATAAGGAACAGGGGCGGTTGGAGGTAGAACACTCAAAGAAGAGGCTTGTGCACCATAGTGCAGGGCACCTTGAAATGTAGGATGCGAATTTTTTAACAGTTTAAAAGCCAGTAGAAATTGTCCTCAACCTTGACCAAAAGCTTTTTCTTCTCATGTGTGCTGCCTTGAACAGAAACGATTACGGAGGAAAAGTGGACTTAGCTGATTGCCACAGAAGCTGCCATGGTGGCACCGTTGTCCCTTAGTCTGCCCTATGCAGCAGTGGCGGGTATGTTTTAATGAATGCAGGTAGTGCAACGACTAATGGTAATACGAGCGTCCACCGGAGCACGAGCACCCATCAGAACAAAGTTCATGCGTGGTGGCAGGTAAAAAGTGCCCCCAATTAACCAATATAGCTCTTGCGTAGCCTATATAATCAGGGGTAATTATGTTACTAGACGGTCTTTCTGTAATATGCGTAAGTATATACTGTTCTAGGTTGAAAGCCTCTCAAAAGGGGACAGTCAAAATCGGGACCAAATTAGGTATATTGCGTTTGAATTCTTTCAACTCATGTGTTTTGGTGGATGCCACACATACACACACACACGCATGCGTGCGAATAGGACGTGCCAGCGTGTGTGGCACTTGAACATGCTTCAATTACAAGCAGCAGAGGAACACTACATGATTAGTGCGGCGGCCCATTGGGGAAGCGTCCTAGGAAGAGCTTGTAGCCATAGTGCTATGTACATGTGGATGATGTAACTGCCTTTGATTTGCAGAAAAAAGGAGCACGGGCGACGAAATACCATTTCACACACAAGTGCCCTTGTCTTATGCTAGTAATTCTGGCTACACCACATATGCCACAGTGTGCCACCTTCTTCTGTGGCTGGTATAGTCTATTATTTTTTAACTACCTGTGTTATATTGAGCGGTATATGTGTTGTGTGTGGGTGGGTTGTAGCTAAACCCAAGTATCATACCCACAGTACAGCTTGATATGTAATGGAGCAATTGCTACAGGTTTATTGTTCACTATCCTCTTATCATGCCCAATGGCCACTGATGCTTGATTTCTACCACTTTGGCTCGGCTCTTGTTCAGACGCATATGCACCTCGATGTTTCACAGCAAGCATTCAGAATTGATTTAGCATTAGATTCGACGGTCCTGTACATATGTTGGCCAGGAAAAGGTGAGAGGTTTGTTGGGATCTGATGTACTTGAGGCTTACGACCTTCTGAATAATGTGAGGTATTATAAGTATACTTTTCCAGTACACATATACCATTACCTTTTGTACAGTAAAAAGACTTATTTTTTTCCATGGGAATACTAAGGTTAATGTACTTTACCTTTAAGAGGGAGGGCTGAAAGGTTTGTGATAAGTGGAGACTTTTAAATGAAAATCCGGGGTTTTTTATCCCATTTGGGCGGCGTTCTCCTTTTCTCAAGGCAAGGTAGCTGGCGAGCGAGAACTAATGATCTGGATTTGGGAAACTCTGTGGTTGCCTAAGTTACATAGTGAATAAGGGCTTTGGGAATTTGCACCATGCTTGATTGGTATACTGGTGCATCCAGACCATCCTTAGGAAGAAGGAGAGGCCTTGTGGCTTCACCACTTAGT